GGGGGGGAGGTGGGGGGGGGTGGGGCAGGGGCATTAAGCTTATGTGTATAGTTGTGTGCCATGGAGGGCGGGTCGCATTGTAGGGACAGCGGAAGGAACTAGGGGGGAATGTGAACAACCACATGCGTGGACTGTTGATGCATTCTCTTGCATTCAGGGTGGTGGTGGGGTGACACGAAGTGCAATGCGTTGGATTTCCCTTGGAAAGAACACGGTCTCGAGAGAGGTCCAATCAGACGATGCTCGGACGCAAGCTTCCGAAGCCAAGTTTCCGAATACAACCGTTCCAGTTTTCGAAAACAACCGTCGAGTTTCCGAATACGAGTTTCCGCATACAACCGTCGAGTTTCCGAATCCAACCGGTTAGTTTCCGAATACAACCGTGCAGTTTCCGAATACAACCGTCTCAGTTTCCGAATACCAGTTTCCGAATACAACCGTAACCGTGTAGTTTCCGAATACCAGTTTCCGAATACAACCGCGTAGTTTCCGAATACCACCCTTCCAGTTTCCGAATACAACCGTCTCAGTTTCCGAATACCAGTTTCCGAATACAACCGCGTAGTTTCCGAATCCCAGTTTCCGAATACAACCGTTCCAGTTTCCGAATACAACCGTGGAGTTTCCGAATACAACCGTCCAGTTTCCGAATACAACCGTGACCTGGTCAGGTGGGTATGACTATTAAATTTAAATATGATACTGTATTAACACAATTTAATACATATTAATTGTATAAATTATATAATTATATAGTATATACACCTAATATTAACTCTGAAAAGATGTGAAAGGACGCGGATTCGTGTTTCCATTGAAGCCTGTGCTGCAGGGGACTGAGCCTCGGGTCCCAGAGCTTGGTTGCGAGGAGCAGGCGCGGGGAATGCCTTTTTGGAGGTGTGGTTTCCTTACAATTTGCAGGAGGAAAGGAATAGGCAAGAGGAAGTGAACCAATGTTAAACAATCATACTACACAAATAATTAATTAGGACTAATGAGGACTAACCAGGACTTTGACCTCAAAACAATAAGCACCTACACGTGAACCGGGTGAATCATTTGCAATATTATTCCTACATATTCCTACTGTAGGTTTGGCCAACTCATACAAATCAAATCAGTGATTTGACTGCTCATGTTTGCTAATTGGTGCGGTGCATCTTGCTGATTCTTCACATTTGTACTTAATTTAGGGTTTGAATGACAAATGCCCACACTGCCTCACCTGAAGCCCAAGAATTGAACATCGAAACATCATGAAACATCCTTGCACTTGGGCTTTGCAGAGTGTCACATGGTCCAACCGGTGAGAGAGGTTTGCACACGTCGGACAATCCATAGCAACATGGCAAAACACAAGTTGAGCTTTTTGCCCTCACCGATGTTGAATCTTTCGTGCCTGTTCCACACCGCAGCTTGAAATAGCAGTAGGATGAGATGGCTCAAAGTAATTATCTCAAACTGTAGGCACTCATACAGATCATGGAAGGCTACAACTGCCATGGACACAGGATCCGCACATTGGACATTTCCTCCTAGAAGTGTCATCAAAATAGTCCATTTGCATCGGAGGAGGCAATGTGTTCTTCACCATTTGAGCTCCTTTGAAAGGCGTATCAAGTAGACCGTCTCGCCATGATGGGTTTCAGACTGGTTTTCTTGTACCTCTTGCAGGAAGTGGCAGCTCAGATAGAAGGACTTAGCCTGAGTTACTACAACAGTTTGGTGGCCAAGAAGATCCTCATTTGGGGAGGTGATGAAGGAGAAGGTCTCGTGATGGCAAAGTTTGTCCATTCCCGTTGCTCCCTGCTTCTGCTGGTTGGCAAGGATGCTGCGTCAGCAGAAGCAGCTGCGACTGACATTCTGGCGACGCCGCCCAACGCGGGCACCTGCCCACCAGGAGTTGAGCCTGTCGTGCAGTGGGACGCTGGCGACATCCACAATTCGACCTACGTCCTCCTTCTGACCGCTAGGTACCAATCGGTACTGGGCGGACCACCAGAGATAGCGTGGAACTATGCCAGCTGATCGCTTGGCGGTTCACAAAGTGATCGCCTGAGCGGCAGAACCAGAACTGGCTGCTTTCAATGGGATTCGGCGGACGTGTGAACTGACAGACCTCTGCCTTTGGTCCCAAACCGGCAAAAAGTGTGTGAGGATGGAAGCTCCCTCAGCTTCGTTTGGCAATTTCATTTCACAGTTGTTTGTTCATTGCGAGTGATCGCCTATAAATATTGGGCAACACTTGTCAACCACCTCGGAAAGAATACTGGACCAAGACTCCGATTTTTATGTTGCGCAGTTGCGCAATTGGTGCCATTGAAGCCTTGCAGTTTCCTGGAGTAGCTAAACCTATAGATACCGTGGCATGTGTGGTAAGTCGTTCAGATTCATGTTTGTTGGTGTGTGGAAGAACCAATAGCATACCGTGAGTGAAGGTGTGGAATTGGCATTCAGAAGCATGCCAAAAGGCTACATGTTCCAAGGGGGCGTCGCCGGCCATGTCACGTGAGTTGATTCAATCCGAAGGCCCTTCGTGTTCTTTGTCCGCTTGGCAGGCGGCCACTTCTCCTCAAGGAACGCCCTTTGCGAGACCATTGCGACCAGAACTTCCAGGACGACCGGGCCGGGCGCAGGGAAGACCGGCGCAGGGAGGGTCGTTGGTCCTCCACAAGGGACTCATCACCCAGCAGATAAAGATGCGTGCTTTGGGTTCGGTTTGGCCTTTATGCCCAGCCACTTGCAGGCTTTGCGTGTGAACCATGGGTCCTAATGGATTACTGTAAATGTGTTTCAAGGAGAAACAGTGATTAGACATAGATCATTCATTCACCTAATTGCACTTTGGACCACATACATTATTTGCGTGTTCAACAACACATACAGCGACAATGGGATACCTTCGTACTGGCGCAGACTTGAGGAGACTTGCTTGTGGATTTTGTTGCTTGTAGAATCTTGAGGTGTTTGGAACTATATATATATAATCTTGTATTTGCGCGAGCAAATTTGTATGTAAGGAATCTTGCTTGCCACCTGTTTAAAGAAAAACATCGATGCATTGCAGCTTCAACCATTGCCCTTAAGGTGCAAAAGGTGCCTCTCAGAGCACAGCCGCCTGGGCCGTCGGCAGATGACATGAGCCAATTCAGTAGGTTCCACGCACCAGAATGCACGTCACCACATCGCGCACATTGAATTCCCCCAAGATGTTTGATCTGTTTTATGAGAAGATGTTTGAACTATCTTGCAGGATACGCGTGCCTTGCAAGTCAATGGACATTAGGCCGTAGTTACGCCGTAGTTATTAACAAGTTTTCTCGCCAATCAGACCTGGGATTGCTTTCGCGAGCTTTGCAGGTCTTCAGCCTGTGCCTGTTGTGGCAGCGTGGGGAGTCTCAGAAGCACTTGTGTTAGCACTCAAGGCCCTTAAAGGTTCCATGGCAGTTTTCGTTCCACCATTTTTTGGTGCAAAATAACTGCCGTAGCACCAAGACTGGCGGTAGCATCACCCCTGTGCTTTGCCGACTAGCACCACTGTCCAGGCAACCGGCGCTGATACGAGCCCCGGTCCAGCTGCCACAGCCACCGGTAGGCAAGTGGGAGCCTAAAAGAGTGGCTCCCAAATTCCCAAATGACGGTTGCACTTGATTTGTCCTCAGGTTGAATTTATAATGCAATGGGTCATGAGCCCTTATTGCCACAAAGAGAACACAGTTTTGCAAACATTGAGCTGAGTACACAAAATGCACCCTGTTGAATGACACATGGCTCACAGAATGAAGATGATTTGCCTCGGGCATTTAAAGCTGGCCGTTGTTTGAAAAACAATCCACCTGAAAGCGTCAGGTAACTTTCTGTGGCGAACACTGTTTGTGCATCGAATCCTAACATTGGAACCATGATGAACCCAGCTGCCACAACTGACTCTTGATCAGGAACATGCTACTAGTAGCTGTTGGCATTACTACTAGAAACAAGAAGCTACTAGGAACAAGGGCATCGCAGGGCATCGCTACTAGTAAGAAAGGGCATTACTAGGAGGAATATATAGCTACTATCCCGGAATGCCTTTTCTACTAAACCGTAAAAAGCCGGTTCAGATGCAGCAGGTGCTTTGCCCGCCATTCGCTTGGCGGATGTGCACTTCGGCCCGGTGTGGCGGCCCTTCATCGGCGGGGCTCGGCAGGGAGTGAGAGCACTGAATGCAAAGCTGGCCCAGTTGAGAGTGGGGCAACGAGGGTAATGAGTTCCAGATGGGTTCTCAGACACCCAGAGGAGATCCATGATCCAGGTTGTCAGGATTTGTCAGGTAAGTTAGGTCATTACTCGTCTCTTTGGCAAGCAGCCAGAAACTGATCTGGAAAGAATTCCTGGAAATCCTACTCTACGACGTCTCACAACTTTCAATGCCCAACAGCTCTCACTGGGGGTTCGGACATTTTCTCCATCTATTCTGCTCGATGTCAGAAAGTGAACTACGTGGGTAGGAGGCCGTAGTGGGAGGCGGGGGCCTTTGTGCAGTGTTTCGAGGTGCAGTTCCACATCCACAAGGACAACTGATGTTAGACTCAGAGGATTTTACATTTTTTATTCGGAATCAAATATGGAATCTTAAATAAAGGATTCCTCAGTGATGATTATATACATATATGTTTTCTATTTTGTCTCATTAAACCCTTAGATCCAACCTGATCCATCGATCCCGAGGTCTTGGGCTCCGGTGGCTTTGGCTCGGTGCACCGGGGCCACCTGCGTGGCTATCCCAACGAGGCGCCGGTGCTCCGTGGTGTCACCCGTTGGCCGGGGCGAGTTGAAGTCTGGGAGGTTTGCTTGGAATGATCTAACAATTGCTTGGATCTTAAACCTGCAAGTCATTTCTAAACAGAACAGGGGACCACCAGAGTGCGTATTTTATGTGTTTTTGCTGCCTACTTCCATCTATGTACTATAAACTTCCCACTGTGGCCTGCATTCATGCTATGTGTTTGTGAAAGCTGCCTCAATGTCCTTTGCACTGGAAAACAAACACAAACAGTCTCGAGAAAATATAGACAAAACCAATAACAACCTAGGACAAGCCAAAAAACCTTGGGAAAACCAAAAAACAATTCTCAGAGACTCTTGGCTGGACCCCCCCCTTTCCTCAAGACTTCCCCCGAATTGTTCTTTTTGTTTTCCCAAGTTGTTTTTTGTGTTTTTGCTTTTCCTAGGTTGTTATTGGTTTTCTCAAGGTTTTTTTGTGGTTTTGGTTTTCCTATTTAGGTCAATCTGTGTTCTTACTATTTCGTTCAACCTTCAAGTATGTGAGCCTAAGTCTCACCTAAAGGCATATGTTCTTTGCTCTTACAATGAAAGCGTCTGAGCCCACCATTCCCTTTGTCCTTGTCGAAATCTCCATGTACAAGTCTGTGCATTGACTTCTGATTGGTATCAATGTGGTTGCCAATTGCATGTCCAATCAGCTTGACATGAAACTGTAATGATACCTTTCAATTTACATGAAATTGTTATGAATCTGTGTAAGCTGTAGTTCTAATTCAATGCTTGTTGCTTTTGCTTCGGCTTTGTAATATCGAAGCCTCCTCGACTTGTGCATCTTGTAGCTCAAGCGTTTTACATCTTATTCTGGCGAACTTCTAATTTTAATTCCAATCCCTTTCTAATTCAACTCTCATCTAATTTTAAATAGGTATTATAGTTCAATACAAGTTTAGTTGAACTTCGGTTTTAATTCAGTTCTATCTTAGCTCTAACTCAAATCCAATTTAATTCTACTTAATTCTATTCTAGCTCTAGTCTATTTAGTTTAAGAAGACACATGCTACAAAACCCTGTGTTTTACAGTATTTGTTTGCACTCGGAGTGCTGGGAACAAGACTAAAACTCTTTTTTGAAGTAAATAGTTAGATTTTGTTTATTTACAGTAATCACTGGAAATAATATAGACATATTAATTTTGTTTTATGTACAAGCTTCTAATTCAAGAGCTTCCCTCTAGATCTCTGTGGATGATCATTTCTACAATAAAAATATCTAAAAGCTTTGATTTCAAAAGCTTTCCTCTGGCTCTCTGGAAATGGTCATGTCAATTTAAGCATGCTATATATATACTTAGAAGTGCTTAGTCTAATTTTTTGTAATTTTTTTGTTGTTTGTGGGTTGCCGGTATATCACGAACGGTGCTCAAGCAAACACGTTGAAAAACGAGAAGACAAAATAACTCAAGGGCAGTGAAGTGTCCGTGGCCCCACAATGAAATATCTATCATGTGGGATTGCTGCCCAGTAAGAAGCTATACTCGAAGTAGACAGACACAATGTGAAAGTCTTGCCGCCAAGACTGGCTTATACCTGAGATGGAATGACACTGTCCTTTTTATCCGGGTCTAGCCAGTACTCAGCAGTTTCTGGGGTGTGACCCTGTCAACACCCCTTGGGAACGAGAACGGTCATGTTGAAGAACGAGAATGGGAAATATCTTTCTTACATCCGGCAACCGCATCACTTCCAATCAGCTCATTTTTCCCGCCCAGTGTAGGCGACAGGTCGAAGGTTTTTCTCCCAAAGCTGCAGCTCCAATGACTGAAGCAGCCGTGGCCAAAGCAGCCATCACTCCAGCGAATCCCAGACTTGGTCGTCATCTCTGCAGCGGGGTCCTCCTCCTCTTCTGGTTCTTCTTGGCCGCCATCTTCGCCGTCATCAGGAGCGATTGCCGCTGGCTTGGGCTTGGTCTTCGGCTTGGCCTTGGGGGGCACCTCCCCTGCCTCTGCCCCTCCCTTTTGGTTTGGGCTGCGGCTTGGCCTTCGGGTCAGGACCGCCAGAGGCCCTGAGACGGCGTTTTCTTCAAGCCAACTGCTTCAGAGTAGGCGGCCGAGAACAAAGGAGAGTTCGGGTCGACCATGTTCTCTTTCAACAGCTCCAGCAAGCGATTCTCCAAGCCACGCGAGCGCGCCTTACGATGAAGCAGATTCCAACGTAGCCTGCGCGCGCGCAGGCATGCCCAACCGAATCTGGCATCACTCGGTGTCATGTCTACACTATTTTCGCGTAATAGCAATGCGCAATTTCTTCGTAAAATGCAAGTGGCAAAGAATGGTATAGCGCATGGGTTCGGGCTCGTTTGCTGCACGGTTGGACGCCCGATCGTCACCATCGTCGGTTGTTTTGCCGCCCACTGGCACCAAATGCTTTTTGCCGAGCATTTCGTTTTTCTCCTGCCATTTGACGCGCCATTCTTCCGCCAACTTGGGCCACGCTACTCCAAGCAGCAGGTCGCCATTGATGCTGCCCTCAAATGCTTCCGGGCTCACACAGGCAAAGTCAATTTCTTGCTGCCGAGGACCAAGCAAGGGTGCCCGCGCTTCTGACGCGCTGCTTTCTGGAGGCAAGGCTGTCTTCAGTATAGGCAATCAGACGGCTATCCCATACCAAGTTGGGTTGTCTCCTTCATCGTCGTCCTCGTCCTGTTGTCCTTCTTCATCTTCATCTTCATCCTCAGCTGCTGCTGCTCCTTTCTTGTTCCCTTCTGCTTGCGCCTTCCTTCCAAGGTGCTAGAAGCTTGTTTTTGCTTTCCTGCTTGCCTCCATCCAAAATCCAACCCGATCTCACCCGGTTGGAGGGCACCGGGCCCATCTCCAGATCTGGCGTTGAAATATGATTATTTATTCGTCTGATTGGGGAAAATTATCGTAAGCAAATCAATGCTTACAGTAAATTGGTCACATAGTTGTGTAAGGAGTAGTCAAATCGCCCTCTCCTTACACACTTCGGGGACGTCCCCAAAGTGCCGTGCGAGCAGCCAGAAAGTATACAAGAGCCTTGAATCAACAATCCGCTTACCGTAATTTCATTTCGTCCTCTTTTCGGCTGCTCCTTACGCACCTCGGGGGCGTCCCCAAGCTACGGTGTGAGTAGGCAATTCGCCCTCTCCTTACACATCCCTTTTCCGCTATGCCGAGGCGCGGAAGGAGCAGTCAAAATTCTACCAGTGGTGTGGCCGGAGCAGCCAAGACCTACTAGGCCGAAGCAGCCTTCTTGCCACCGGCTGGGCCGAAGCAACCCTTTGAGCGCTTGGGCGAAGCAGCTTGACAAGGCACTACTTGTAAGACTAACGAGGCAGCCTCCCTGGAGGTCGCACAGAACAGCTTCAGCCATGTCGCCAAAAAAGCCAGACTGAAGCCGTCACCACTTGAAGGTCGGGGTTTCTAAGCGCGAGAGACTCTGCAAAGAGCTTGCTGAAACTCATGGTTGGTGAATTCTGTCACCTTCAAGTTGCTCTTCAAGTTGACGGTCCTGCCAGGCAAGCCACAGGCGATACGAGTCACTGGGTAATGACAACTGTGGCTGAAACGAACAGTGGTCAGAACATCCAAGTGATCATCACTTCATCGTCTGTGTCAGCAGCAGCATTTGCCCACATCATTGCATGGCGTGCGCACTCCAGAACATCTTCCCAATCCTTTCCAAAGGCTTCTTTCAAAACTACATGGGCGCCGTTTACCAGCCTTTGGAAATCTTCGCAGGATCGCTCGCTCTTCAGGCGTCTTTGGCACAAGGAGCTTCCATCATGGTAGGAGCGGGTCAAGATCCGAGGAATAGTACCCTAAATGGCTGCGGGCGCACTAGAAACAATTGGACATGAGATGAGTCATGAGAGTGGGAAAGGGTAGAACGTTTGGTCCAATGACTTCATGGCTTCTGCCACGCACCAAGTCATTTGGGCACCCTTTCGATCAGAGCAAGTGGCCTGTCCGTTTCGGATATTTTGGGGAAGATGTTCAAACTCAGCTTCTGAAGGAGCGAGCCTCTTTGATACGATGGTTGTTTTGCCAGCCACCGTTTGTGCCACAGCGGCTTGGTGATGCTTGTTGGCTGCGTGGCTCTTGAAATTACTGCGTTGGAGACCCGCCTCCGTTCTCACATTGAATGTGGCAAAGCTAGTGGTGTGCCTTGCTGCACGGCAAGCTTGGCAACCGACACCCCAAGGTTTGCCTTGCACTTGCAGCCACGAGCCCTGGCTAGGATCGCTTGGAACTAAAAGAAATTCGTTCTGCCATTTCACATCTGAATCTAAGCGATCCCACTTTGCTTATAAGCCCTCTCGACAACGTCGGCGTCTGTCATTTGACCGAAGCAGCCTGTGGCCGTAGCAGCCACGTTCATCGCTGTGATGGCCCCGCACTGCAAACTTGAACCAGCAACGAGATTTGCAAATATCTTTGTCTTGCATGAAAATATCTTTGCCCCCTCTTAAAACTGGCGTGTGCACTTTCTAAATCTTATTTGCGATGGCTCTTCTGACATGGCACTGTTCTGTGTAAACATATGTCTTATCGCAAGTTTTCTGTGTGGTCAGAGCAGACTGTCCCATTAATTGTTTTGGTGAAATACATGCGACAATCGCAATGGCTTCAGTGTTTTGAAATAGCAGCCAGGATTTTGTTGAGTAATCGCCAGAACGAGAATGCAAAATAGAGTTAATGAACATAGCACATAAAATGGGCAGAAACCTTCAACCTGATTTCTTTCACACTGAAAAAATTACAAAAAATTAGACTAAGCAGTTCTAAGTATATCAATGAATATGTTTTTCTTTCAAGAGCTTTCATTTCATGAAAACACACATGGGATATCTCACAGTCCCCCGCTTTCTTTCTAAAACAGACTTGCAGTGACTTAGAGTCCAGACTTGCTGGTTTAAGAAGCGATTTCTTAGCAAGGGTGTCTATCATCCATCGCAATTGCAAAGAGACCAACCACCAGAACACCCTGTTTTCCAGTTCCCCAAACACTTTCCACTAGCCTTCTCACTCGGACCGACTCATGCGTTCCTTTTCCGACTGAGGTGGCCATCAAGAAGCTTCACCTCATGGGCCCCTTGAGCCAGGCCGGTCGCCTGGGGATTCCGCCGGGAATATGAGAGGTGTGAACCAATTTTTGTGACGCGGAGTAGTGCGGACGCGCTTGTTTGCTGGACCTGCTTTCTTTGTTCATGTTTGATCATGTTTGTTCATGGAGTGTGTGCACAATCGTTTGTTGAAGCTTGGTGGTGTGACAGCATTGAATGTTTTAGACCTCCAACGTTCGTGACCGACCTGTTTCAGAACACCTCATCACGACACGTAGGAGCACCTGAAGGAATTCTACAAGGAGGCGGCGAACCTCCAAGCTTTGAGGCTGGAGCTCCGATGAGATTGCTGATCCCGCGTCAGGAGATTGACAGTCAAGGTTTTGGTACAGGTTCGTTGGGCTCCATCGGTCCGAGGTCCCCACATCCGCGGTCGTCTCGACCGAGGCACGAGCGTTTGATCCAACTCATTGGGATCGCCTGTGAGATGCCCTTGCTGTGCATCGTCACCGAGGTAGGGGCGTGGGATGGCCTGGGGGTGGTTGGCGGCTATGGAAAGAGGTATAGGCCACTAGGCCACTATAGTTAGTATCTCTATGAATGGTATAATCTATGAATTTAGGAGGATAGCTCACGCTTCTTCAAGAAAGCTCCCTGCCTGAGGGTGGGGGGGAGTTTCTTTGAAGAAACGCTCACGCTATTCATTTGGCTCCTAGATGTTTGGGAAAAGAGAAAAGATGAGAAAAGACCTCAATCTGGCCACTCGGAACCTGGTCAGCAAGCAGGACATGATATCTTTAGCTTCTTGGGTGAAGTTGGATTCTTCAGGATGTGTTCATTTTCCGCATGAACATGAGACATACTGAGATAAGATAATGTATTAAGGAGGAATTGTGCGATGTCCAGTTCAGGTTGGATGTGTGTTTCAAATTCTGTTAATTTGATAATTCCATAGACTTCCAACCCAAAGCCGTTTGTATCCATTTGTTTACAATCATCCAGAATGCAACATCGTGTTTACAACATTTTTATATCCTTTTGCAAGGGTGTTTTCTTGGATACATGGGGAACTGCCCAGGAAAGTCTCGGTCTTCCCATTGAGCGCTGATACGTGAGGGGCTTCTCACTTGCAGAGTCTCAATATTGTGATGTTCCCAGCCATCAATCGGTTTTGGTCGTTCATGTCCTGGTGCATCTATTCTACGAATAATTACCAAGGATTCTAGGTTAATCACATTATATAACCAAGTAACCAAGCAACCAACAACTGCTCTAACTCGTGTAGGGATTCTAGGGGTTCTGTTACTCAGCATCAAATTCCCGTCACCTATCAACGGTGAGTTTTCACATGTTTCAGGGTTGGTCTTGTGCCACTTGCGGTCGCTCGGTGCTGCTTCTTTTTGTAAATGCGCTTTCTTGCTCAGCTGGCGGCGGGTGGATCTCTCCACGATTTGCTCCACGTGAAACGCCTGCAGTTACAGGAGGCGTGTTGTATATGGCCGGGTTGTCGGGGTTGATGTATGGGCCATTCGGTACCCATGGCATATCCCCACAGGCCCCAACAGGATTCTGGGTTCCCAAGTATTGGTTCACGATGGTTTATGTAGGGTTTGGCCAAGTCTTAGTATTTCAGCCAAGAGCTCTCAGGGTCAGTCAACAATACCCTGATTCAAAGGAGTGAAAAGGTATCAAAGCCCTTTGGTACATACATCGAAATACCTGACCTACCAATGCCGACTGATATATCAAGGCCTCAAGGATACTCGAAGGAAGGTCGTTGCATGTCATTTAAGACCAAGCTCGGGGAGAAAGCTCAGTGCTTCACGAACGAGGCTGTTGTTCATAGTCTTCAGCAGTAGGTTGGAGGCCATCGCTCTTAGGTTGGAGGCCATTGCTATTAGGTTCTTCAGCAGTGCGTTTAACGTCGATTTGAACTCCAGTGGAGCCACAGCGTTTCTCCAGGCAGCCCTTTAATTGAACTGACAGAAATCACGGTGCGCTGTTCTGGGGAAGTGCCCAGACGTAAAGCAAAGAAAGAAGACACAGATCACCACTTTGCCTTTGAATAGTCAACCACTGTTTGATTGAGGTGTTGTGATTGGTTTGGCTTCAAGCAATCACAAACACAAAGAGAAAAGTCTATATAGAGATCAAAGACTGCAGGTTTGCGCATGCCTTTGCTGGCTTTGATGGTGTTTGGCAAAGCCAGAGGGGCCCGACCCTTTAGCAGACTCTAGGAGATCTTTGGGCCATTAATGTTTTTATACCCTAGGAACTTTGATCACTATGGCGCATGGCGCAGCTCCTGTGGCCCTGGTGCCCGGTTGGTCTGCCGGACCACAGCTCCACCCTGGAGTGTGCATGGCACAACAGGGCGTCTGGGCAGGGTGAGGTGTTTTTTCCCTTAATGAAAGCTGTTTTTGTGGGAGTCCCAGAAAACCCGTATATCACGTAAATCTGTTACACTTTGCAGGATCATCGGAATCATCGGACTTTCATACTTGTCGCAGGAGGAACACCATGGTTTGGTTGGAGATACATTGCTTTGTAAAATCGAATTAGTAACTAGACCTCACTGAAAAGGTTAGCAACATCCAGTACACGGTAGGGCTTTCGGTCACGTGGGCTGGTGTCAAGCACCCACTTTCGAGTTATCTCCTGGCCTAAGGAGATCCTTTGCTTCCTCTACTTCCGCCAAAAAGGCCGCTTGCTGCCTGCTGGGCCGGGCAGGAGCGAGAACGAGAAGAGACTGAAAAAGAAATGAGGAAGAAAACGAAAGCACCCTTGACTAAATTTATAATTATTATACTCGTCCTCCAAACCGTATATCTACAGTATATATTATATATACACAGAGAGATACTGGATGATACCGGTATGAATAAGCAATTTCCACTAAGAACAACATATGTATGTAGTAAATAGTTTGGATATTTGGGGATCACTTGGCAAACCACTGTGAATCTTGGTGGAGGTGGAGCAAGACACTCCGCTCTTTCATTGGCTCTAGTGGATTTTAGTGGCAAGGAAACAACGAGGAAAGGTTCTTTCTGTTCATCCAACGAGGAAAGGTTACTATTGGTCACTGGGATCGACAACCCGGGACACCCTGGGATCAACACATGGAACGGGAGTGCCTGCAGGACTGCAGGAATCTTGCGAAGGGTTGCGGGCTGGACCACAATTGCTTCTGACGGCCATTGGGATACGCAGTCCCATCTAGGTGGCACCGCCAGCTGCTTGCACTAATTTGAGTCAACAGCTTTTGTTTTGATTTGAAATGCGGAGCGCATGATCAGCATGAGCTTAAGGCTGACAGAGACTGCAGCTAAGGCCTTGTCCTTGGTGCTGCGTAAGAGTCATGCAAGGAGCAAAGCATCAAAGCTACGCAGGGCTCGTTTGGAGGCGTTTTTGGGGCGGTTGCGCTTCGAAGTTCGGCCGCAATTTTCAGACACTTCTGGAGGCGTGGGGTGTCCAAAGGTACGGTGGAGCTGAGAGTTGAGAGTTTCCTGAGGAGGGCCATTTAATTTAGGTTCTTTTTTGTTTATTTTTAGTGTTTTTTTTTTTTTTCTGGGCTGTGGCTTTTGGCTTTCGTGGCTTTCGTGGCTTCTGGATTCTGTGTGGCTTTTGGCTTTCGTGGCTTTCGTGGCTTCTGGCTTCTGTGGCTTTTGGCTTTCGTGGCTTCTGGATTCTGTGTGGCTTTTGGCTTTTGTGGCTTCTGGCTTCTGTGGCTTTTGGCTTTCGTGGCTTTTGGATTCTGCGTGGCTTTTGGCTTTCGTGGCTTTCGCGCTTCTGGATTGTGTGTGGCTTTTGGCTTTCGTGGCTTTCTAGCCATGCGAAGGAAAGAAGGAGGGAAGGAAGGAAGGAAGGAAGCAAGGACGAGGGCTTCTGCACAAAATTTGCAGTTCAAGGTCCACAAAGTACTGCGCGTACCACGAAGTCTGCACTTCAAGGTGCACAAAGTACTGCACCTGCCACAAAATTTGCACTTCAAGGTCCACAAAGTACTGCACCTGCCACGAAATCTGCACTTCAAGGACCGCAAAGTACTGTGCCTGCCACGAAATCTGCACTTCAAGGTCCACAGAGTACTGCACTTGCCACGAAGTACGAAAAACAATAAAACAGCAAGAAGCAAAAAAAATCCTAAATTAAATCCGAGCCCGTTTCCTGAGGGGAAAGCCGGTGGAGCATCTTGCATTTGCATGCATTTGCCATGTACCACACCTGATCACACCTGACCAGGCAGCTGCCCAGGAAATGCATTGGTTGTAGGAGTGCAACGCTGCAGCGGGATGCTTTGGGCTGGCTTGACTTTGGCTATGCTTGACCAGCGAGGTCAGTTGAATGGCATTGCACGTGCCGCACATGTTCTGTTGGAAATTCATTTGGCAAAGTTCGACTTGAACTCCGAGCCACTTCTCTAGCGTTTGATGCGCGTTTGGGTGTGTGGACGGTTCAGGGTTGATTACAAGGGTCCACTTTTGTATACAGGATGTGAGATGCATGGTGCATAATTCCTGCTACAGCAAGACAGGTTTCGTGCATTTGCGTGACTCATGTGACATCTCTTGCCCACTGTCCGATACGGCAATGGCTTGTGCTTGGCCAAACCGAGGCACTTGCGGCCTCCCCAAATGGCAGACGCATTTGTTGTATCCCTGGTGTCATCAACAGATGAGTGGGCAGTTGCACAGGCCTGAGGGAAAGCAGCAAAGTAGAGAAGAGTATCATTTAGGTTAAATTGCAAATTATGCCCAAATCAACATGATTCCCAAGTGATAGGAAAGTGAGCAGTAATCTAGATGTGGCATGGAATATATTTCTACTGCAGGGCATGTAGAACATACAGATGACTGGTGCACAGGATGTACCAATCAACACGCGTGCATGGTACTTCGACAAACTCAAACATTGAAAACGTTGTGAGTCACGTGTGTGTTCGACATCTGTCTTTTTGAGGTTGATTGCTGACTCAAACGACCACGCACGCTCCTGTACTCGTTGACGGACCATTTCTTGGAACAGGAAAACGGCTCCAGGTGAGCCCGAATGGGGCCAGTCCCACCCTCCGGGATCACACCAGGCGCTGCATCCTTCGGCTGGGCTCATGGGTTCTTTCTTAGCTCCTTCAGCTCAACCAGGTGGTGTAGCTCTTCCCTTGGAGGTGCCTGGGCTTGGTGGAAGTGAGCAGCGATGCTTTAACCGCTGGGACCTACAAAAGGACATAAAAGGACCCATTGATTGAAAGTAAGTAATTATATAGCCGAAATGGATCAACATGCTTCGTTTGATTGGAGTTGAAATGGAAACTTCGTCGCTGTGTCCTCAAGGGATGCAAGAAGATTAGACTAAAAAGATACTCCTTGCCGAGGGGCAAGGGGTTTGTATGCGTTTTCCATGTTACCGGAAGCATGCCTCCTTGCATCAATTTTGCTGACTCAGTTACATGCTTTTCGGACTCCTCCTTCTTGTTCAGTCTTGTTCCTTCGTAACAAGTTGAAGCATGCTGCAGAGGGCAATGGAGGAAGTGGTAAGGGCCGCGGTCGTTTGGGTAAAGGTCAAGGTGGCAAAGGCAAAGAGCCTTACACAAGGTGGAATCAGGAGAACCCAGTCCGATGCTGCAGAGGTGACTGCGCAACCTAATCGAATGTTGTTGGACCGAATTGCTACGGATCTAGCAGTTTAACAAGAAGTTCTTGCAAACTTGCCAACGCACGGTCTCTTGGGGAAGAGGCAGAGCTTGATGGCGTGAGAGATTGGTGCCATCGTGCTCGCATAGAAAAACACCTTTTAGCATGATCGTACAGCCGACGAACTCGGCTTACATCATCTCGAACCTTTCGATGTTGACAACCAGTCCGTCGCTCTGAGCAACCTGCCTAAATTCATCAAAGAAAAATGCGGTGGTGTTCTCGATCTAAATCATCCCAATAAACCTGGACTAGCACGACAGCGTCAAACTGCAACGACGTATTGCCACTGTACAAGTGCACAATTTCGGCTGACGCACATGTTAAGCCTTTGATTGTTGTAGCTACTTTAGAGGATGCTTTGCGCTGTACACGCAAAGAAAAAGAACATAAAAGAACAACATGCTGCATTTGAGCATGTTGATCCAGCTGGGGAGCAAACTGCCATGTCTCCCGTGGAACTAATCGTTCTACTTTCAGCGGACGTTGGTGGATCAATAGTGGTAAAGAATGGTCCAGACACGGTCCTGTTGGTGCAGACACCTTCGACGCCTGACCACCACATGAGGTCTTAGCGGACGAAGGTCTTCTTGGAACTCTCTTGGGACGCTCGCCGGAGCTCCTGCAGCTTTATGTGGCCAACGAAGCAGAACTCCTCCGAGCATGGCAGTCGTCTGACCTTGAGGATAGTCAGTCCATTTGAACCATTCGACCATTCATGCACTATCACAAGACTGGAAGTCTTACAAGGAGGCTGGCTGACTTGTAGATCTTATTGAACAGGATTTGTAATCTTTGAGGCTTTTGTGCCCACTGACGCAGGGTAGACATGTAGTCAGGTTTCTGACTCAACGACTGAGGTTGGCAAAGCCGCTGCTAGGCGCAGCAACGACCCTTTGCTTCAACGCACAAGTGACGATTTCGCAGATCCCTGGTGCCCGGGCTTCGTGGGACAGAGACAGATGCCGAACTCCTAGTTGTATGGCCAGGAGCCCCTGATAGCGTCCTTGCTCCTGGTAGCGATGCCAGGAGCCCCTAGTAGCTTCTTGCTCCTAGTAGCACGGCCAGGAGCCCCTAGTAGCATCTTCAAATTAGACTCAGTTTTTGCTGGACATCCGAACGGGTGCTTCGCTGTTGTGGTATTGTCAGTTGTAATGTGGAACAGTCTCACACGGGGTTCATACTACTTGGCATCATCTGTTAGAGGCAAACAACGATCTTTTTTCCCAAACGGGTTGGTTCGCGTTGGCTCCGCGAACATTGGCACGAGAGAAGCACTTGTCAGATCTTTAATGTTTCAAAGGACCCGGAGGCCACCTTGTAATTTGATGAGCCTACCATACATGGAGTTGGCTCCAAATCCTGAGCCTGGGATCATTGGGATCCACTGATATCCACTGGTTTAATTAGTCCACTCGTTCTACTAATGACATTGGAATGTACCTTAGCCGCAATAACCACAATTAGCCACATGTCAAATAGGTTCAGAGACAAACCGTGACAAACCTTATGTTTGTGGGAACGTCCAGGCCTGGCGAAGCTCCCTGCCACGCCCTGGCCGGGCGGGCCCGGGAACACCGGGCTTCGCTGCGTCGCGGCCACGGACTCGGCCATCCGTGTGCACCGTCGTTGGTCACGGCCGCTTTCATCACGGCTTGATGTGGGGAGTGGAGCTGGGCTCCACTTACGTGGCTTGGTCGGAACACCGGTGTGGACAGGAAAGAAACGGATAACAGAAACAATGTTCTTCGGAACTACCAAGACTTCCGTGTTTGCTTTGCCACCAATTGCCAATGATGTGTAAAGCATGACTACACATGGACGATTATCCATGTAGAAGCCCAGGTTCATGATACATAATGGATGTAACATGGACAGTTACAAATGCGTAGAAGACAGAAGCCTTCTTTGAAACCCAGGTGGTAGCGTCCCGGTGGCCGACCTCGAGAAGCTGCTTCCCGGAGTAAAATCCATTTGGTTGGAAGTGGGCTGCAATAACTGGGACGCTGGGCCAAACATTTTTCAGGGTGGGAGGCCACACTTTCGGTGGATGAAAGCCGCTTCACGCGAGATCAGAGGACATTGAGGCGGTTTGAGAGCCCCTTCTTATTTCAATGCTCCGAACATCTGTTTAGAGTTTAGAGACGTTGCTAGTAACAAGGGCATCGCTACTAGGAGCAAGGACACTACTAGTAGCTCCTGCCATTACTACTATAGGAACACGAAGCTACTAGTAACAAAGGGCATCGCTACTAGGAGCAAGAAGCTACTAGAAACAAGAAGCTACTAGGGGCTCCTGGCATCGCTACTAGGAGCGATCGGACGCTACAAACGGGGCCACGGAGCTGTTCACATTTTGGCGCGAGCCAAGGAGCTGCTCCGGGACCAGCTTCCGGCGGATGGATCCACCTGGCTACTGACCCTGGAGCCTTTGGTGGACAAGTTTGCCTTCCTTCGAGCGGGAGCCCTGGGTCGTCACGGGTTGGAACCCTGGGTCGTCCGAAAAGGTAGACCAGGTAGACATTTGCCATTCCTCAGATGAAGCCTGGCAGCCTGGCATGTTCTAGTTCTTGACATCGGAGTTGGTATAGGACACTGCCATCATCTCCCATTTTGATTTTGGCAGGGTAGACGCGCAAGAAGAGCTTTCCATTTTGGCCAGTTCTAAGTCAATGTTGGGCCAGTTTTCAATTTGTGGCCAAGAGTCAAGGGCAGTCAAGGGCTGGCCGCATTGCTTTTTCCAGCCCATCTCTCTCCACTCACGTCGTTGCCGGAAGGCCTTCGGCGACCGGCGGCAGCTGGTGCTTCCGCTGGCGGCCGCTGAGTCTCAGTTCGGCCCGTGGGCCGCGCTGCGCTCGCAGAACTACAGCGACTTCCGAGGGCGGAAGGGGGTGACCTTCCAGGCCTGGGAAACGCGGAGCCGGGCGTGGGAAACGCAGCAAACACCGGAAAGTCCAATCCCCCCGTGGAAACCGGCGTGTCCGAAAGCTGCGGAGGCATGGAATGCTTTCATTTTTTGTGTGGCCAGCGTCGTAGATGGGTGAGAACATAAAACCACTGGCAACGATGCCTTGCTTCTATGGCCTGATTGGAACACAGAAACAAAATGGATGTGTTTAAACATTGGTTTTAAACACGTTTCAACTTGAGGTTCTAGACTACCCCCAGGTTGGCAAGTAGAAATAATTTTCAACTTTGTGTTTTCTTCTGAGCCTTTTGCTTGTCTTCTTGGGTTGTCACTTGTCTACCCACCCCTCTGTTGGGATAGCCTGGGTAGAACACTGAAATGAACTTGTGCTTTAACTTAATGTCTTTAAAATACATATAATACATTGGCCCCTATGAAATAGTTTCCAGAGAGAGAGAGAGAGGGAGCAAGAGCAGGAGCAGGAGCAAGAGCGAGTATAAAGCTAAAGCGTTTGAGAAGGTCGGGGTCGCTATAATTTGTTTCTTTTGGTGTGGCCAAGGTTGAGCCGAGTTAAACATCGTCAGACGTTGGGTTTGCCGAGAGCTGACAGTCTTCTCACTAATGTATCTCCCACACGTTGGCATTCCCCCATTTGGTGGCGCTCAGAAGTCAGTTAGCTGCCCTTTTTTTTAAATGGTAGCTGACCCTTAAACATTGACCACGGAAGAGGCATTATATATATATATATATAGAGAGGTTTTATTTTTTTTACGCACACTTTTTTTTAGTTGCCAGCGGCATTGCAATCGCCATGCCCGGCACGCCAGAGACACGCGACGCTCTCGGCTGCGCGGAATAATATATGTACATTTTTTTCCTCCGATAAGGGAATAACCACACGAAAGTCAACCTATCTCAACGAAACTTGGAACTCCCATGCTCATCAGCTGGCCATGAACCAGACTTTCGCTGGAATATGTGGATGGTTGACTGCAGTGCAGGCTGTCCGGCTGTCACAGTCACCGGTATCAGTTCATCCACTATCCTACATCCAAGTGTGTCTCCCTTTGAGTTGAACTGCTTGGTATAAAGCACCTATTTGGGACCAATTTGGAACCATTTGGACCTTTGGTTCCTTTCCAACATAGCCTTTGCGCATATTTGCACCAGCGTGTTCGGCTATGTTGGTGTCAGGAGAGCGGCGCCAGTTCCTTGCTGCGATATGCGAATGGTTTCATGGACCATCGCTGGGAAGGAGCAGAAGCGCAGTACCGGAATTTTCGAGAGTGGCATGGAAGCGCAGTACTGTCCAGTTCACTGCCATTGTTTCACCCCAAGCAAATTCAATTTGGTCCATGTGACTTTTTGTTTGCCTTTGTTCAACCATATTCAACCCCTATTTCCTCATTCTCGCATCCCCTAATTATTGTGTCTTTTCCGCTTTTAACTAAACCATTCATGATTGTTGTGTTGTTGGCTCATGCCTTTGGCACTTACTTCACGGAGATTCAGGGAAATCCTCATGATTGATTCCTCCCTTTCCTCAGCTTCATTTGGGTGTTGGTGAGGTACATGGTGCCCACAGTCCCTTTGCACTGGGTGGTCGAGACCTTGCTGGGAAGGCGCCAAATCGATTTCCTCAAGATTGACGCGCAAGGCCTGAGAAGCGATCCGAAGCGGGAGCAGAAGCGAGCAGGGAACCGGTGAAGCGACCAGGGACCGGTCTCCCTTTCGATGTGGATGTAGTTTGCTTCTTCAATTCATTCCCGTGAAAATACGCCATGAGTTTGAACCAGACATGCATCCACTACCTGGAAGAGACAGGTCTCCCAAGCTCAGCAAGGAAAACCAACCGCAGGGCTATGTTCTAGGACACTCCAATCAAAGAGGTGCTTGCAAGGCCACCAGTCAGCCAAGTCAAGTTACAAAAGGATGCTTCAAAAATCTTCAAAATGCTTAAAATGGTTCTTGGGCTCCCCAACATTTGGAGGGCCCTGGCTTTACCAGAAATGTGGAAAAGCTGAGATCCCTCGCAAGGCCTGCACTTGGAAAGGTCAGAGGCCACTGAATGACCTCTTTTTTCGAGGACACTGGTCCGGCCACTGTGAGGACTGTCGGGCATGTCAATCACTTCGCATCCGTGGGAGGGTTCTTTGTGGTCCTGCCAGGGTTGGACTACAGCGTCTTCAATTCCCTGGGGCCTTATGTGGGTCATGTGAAGCGAGTGCAGATGGAGCTCCATGAACATGCATCTCAGAACCTATAAAGTCAGTTTTTATGTTTCCGGATCACATGTTCACACACACATACACGGTGTTGCGCGGCTAAGTCAGCATTGTTTCATATTTTGAGTAATGTGTCTTCTTGTCAACCTGACCTGACACTGCATGATATATGAGCAACTGCCAAAACCTGCGATGAAGGCAGCATCACTACAGTGAAGACTATAAGACTATAAGTAAGTAAAATGAGGGACACCTTCAGGTTCACAACAAGACGGTAAGGTTTTAGTACATGTTGTTAGGTGTGTCCAAACCCTAAGGAACGATTAGGTTCACAGAATAAACGATAACGTTGGGAAGAGTGCGCAGTACAACACACGAGAGGTTTTGAACATGGCTCATATATGCTCAGAGCATTTTGCACGTTGATCTCTCGCTTGACTCTCTCTTCCTTCGCC